AAAAAGCATACCACATACACGTTGATTATTCGACGACATTGAACCCAAGATAACTGTGCTTTTCTTCTCCACGACCTCATTCGTGGCAATTTTGTCGGCATGCATATATAATATTGGGTTGCCTCTGGGAACGTCTCCAAAATCCAAATCTATGGAAAAAAAGGTAAGTATGATGCTATTATAGTATAAAAATGAAAGTACAACGGTATTATATAGTACAAACGGAAGTACAATGCTATTATCGTATAAAAAACGAAAGTATGATAACTATTTAAATGCATTAGAAACTAACCTTAAACTGAAGTATAAAACCGACAATGGTATACTTGTGTACTTTCTTGGATTCGGGATTGGTCTGCTTGAATATTCTAAATTTTTCTATTTTCTCAAACATTTCATGCATCAACCCTGAAATATAGGTCCAAAAATATGTACCCCATGAAAACCTGCAATTTTCAATGTATTTATTATAATTATTATTGTATTTATACACAATTTTTAAATGTAATACCTGTTCCAATCATCTATATTATCAGCAAGCTTGTATACTGCCGCGGGAATGCCCGTTTTAACGTCCCGTCCGTGGAGACCTTTCAACATAAAAACAAGTTGGATAAGCATTACAACATCTTCATCCCGAAGTGCCAAATAATTCGGAGACATAATGTAGTCTTCTAAATCTTTGAGCCGCAAACGTGCATCTGTAATGTCTGGGAACAATCAAGCACGAAGATTTGAATTTGACCGGCCTCTTTCGTCATGGAGTAAATCCACATAAGGACCAACTCTTAAACCACTAATCAAAATATATTCAGTTTCACCAAAATCCAACTACATCCTCTGTATCTCAAAAAGAAACATCCCCATTTCAAACATTTGTTGAGACCTTACTTCATGCAACATCATCAAATGCACAAGTAAGTGGTCACCATTAAGGATATGCATTTCTAAGAATCTTCCAAACGGTGAAGCTTCAAATAATACTCGTTGCGATTGTGTTAAGCGCGGAAAATAGTCTTTAACGATCGTACCGACCACGCCTTTTAAAGTTAAATATGTTTGTTGATCGAGATCATCGTGCTACAAAACATATACATTTAATTTAATATAAAACGTTAGTAACTGAAAAAAAAACAATGTTTCAAAATTAATTTTCTAATTCGGTTTATGAAATAAATAGCAACGTACTTTTTATTTAATAAATAATTTATATAAAAGGGCAGAAAAAGGGGAAAAGACATTTAAGGTCATTCCACGGAGGTTAGAGGTCATTCCGCGGAGACCCCTCTGCGGAGTGACCTATACCTCCGTGGAGAGACATTTTGCCCTTTTTGATTTATTTTGTGGAGAGAATACGTCAATCCGCGGAGGTCCCTCTGCGGAGTGACCCTCCCCTCCGCGGAATGGATCTTCGCTACTTCAAAACCAGTTTAATCCTAAATCTAAATATGTACATATTGAAGGTTATCAATTGCATTCTCGTAACATTTGAATCTTATATATATACAATACGACATCAATCCAAAGAGGGAAATGTGAAAAATACCCGGGAGTCGTATCCATCCGCGAAAATATTGGGAAAAATTGCGCTCCGTCGGTGCCGGATTTTGCTGGTTCAAGTCGTTGTCGCCGGAAGATGACGTCGTTGAACTCGTTGTCGCCGGGTTTGAACTCGTTCTCTCTGGAAAATCGATAAACTCTACCAATGCGGAGACACGAACGAAAAATGGAAGTGGAAGAGGAATGAGGGGGGGGGGGGGGGGGACCAAAGAGGAGACTCGTCTTATTAAAAACTAGTCTAAGTAGTTTTTAGAAAAATATGATTTTTATAACTAATTAAGAACATATTTGAAATTTTTCGAATTATTAAAAACTAGTCTAAGTAGTTTTTTTTTTAAACTAACTTTTTAAGCTATATTTTTTATTTACAAAGCACGACAATTTAAAAAAAATCGAAAAATAAAATAGTTTATTAGCTATTTGTGGCGCGCCTAGCACAATCTTAATCTCTTGTGTGTGCTTATTAACAAAAATCCCATGTATTACTTTGTTTAATGTATAAATTTGAACCTTATATCTTAATCTTATAAGTTATTATAGGTACATTTATGAACGGATAATAAAAGCTTTTAGAATCTTTAAAGATTTCTAATGACAAGAAAGTAAACATTTTATTTGTGGTAAGGGTCCATCAAATAATAAACTGCAGCCACTAAGATTATAATCATAATAATAATAATAAAGTGTCTTCAAATTGTGCATGTTGTATTGGGGTCCAATGAAAATTGAAAGCCCTACTCACAAGCTCTTGTCTACTTTTGGAATATTGCACCCATTTGATGGAAGGGAGAACACCACCCTCTGTTTTCTCAGTTTTCCATTATCTTTCTCTTTTTTTTTTCTTTTTCTCCCTGTGGTGTACCAAAACAATTAAAATGGACCTTAAAAAGTTGGTATACATATCATGATAATATATAGTGTTAGTTGATGATAATACATGTGTGGTATCAAGTTATTTTGTTTGTATATGTTACATTAACTTTTATAAAAAAAACGTCTTTTCTTGTTGCCGAATAACAAATTATGCCAAATACATTAAGGGTATGTTTGGGAGTGTTTTTTCAAAAAGTGTTTTTAGTTAAAATGCTTATTGGTTTATGACTTTTTGAAAAATAAATTTTTAAAAAGTGTTTGGGTTAGTTTTTGTGGTGAGAAAATTAAAAAGTCAATAAATTAGTTTATAAAAAGTGTTTGACTTAGCTTTTTAAAGATAAAAAGTGATAGGAAAAACTAAAAAGCCATCAAAAAGCTAGAATTTTATAGTTTTTTGAAATTCTCTTATTTTGCATACCCAAAAAGTTTTTGAAAAACGCTTTTAAACAAACTAAACATTTTTTTAGCTTTTTGAAAACATACCACATAAGCTTTTACCGTACATCCCAAACCGCATAGAAGAAACAGTGTTTACTATGGTAAAACATGCCATATACTAAAAATAAGTTAATATTTTTCGAAACGGCTTTGATCATTTTTAATAATAATAAAAATATCACCAAACTAGTGATCGAGCTCATATTAAGATTTAAGACACCATATGGTTTGGAATTTCTATATTTAACTTGTTTGTTAAATTAATTTATTTCGGTTTGATAATGTTAATAAATATTAAATATTATTAAGTTTTAAAATGAAATACAATAAAAGCTATTTATTACTTAAAAAGTTACTTTTATTTATAATTTTAGTTAGTTGTTTTACTCTAACTTATTTGAAAATGTTTATTATAAGTGGAAACCAATTGACCAATTTATAACTGTTTTAACATTCTAAAACCATATAGATTGAAGCCTTTTTTTTTCATGACCAACATGTATACCAATTCAAATATTTATTTATCCTTTCTTAACTTTGCTTTGGTACGAAAAACAAAACATAATTTTTTATGTCAAACAAAAATCACAGTTGTTAAGATCATGATTTTGATCTTAAGATCTTAGATTTTAAGATCTTACAAACCAAAAACGATTCCGATTTCAGTAGGATATATATGAAGCAAGACCTATAGTGGGATCTTAAGATCCCGAGTAGGACTTTAAGATATTAACACGATCCGATCACAATACCTCTCTAGTTTTATTATATAGTCGAACCTGAAATATTTGTCTATTGAACTTGAAATCAAGCATCGCAAGAAGCCTTATAGAGCATCATCACTTTATCAATTCATCATGATTTAGGTAGGTTACACTCATGATATTCCTTTGTGATCTTAAACCTTTAATTGTAGATCATAATGATCTTGTTTCTTTTTGTTATTGAGATGTTTTATTCCTAATTTTTACAGTTTGCAGCAACAAAAATTATGGTTTATGTTTAAAAAATTAAAGTTGACTCTATATCGACGTCTTAATCTACATCAAGTAATAACAGATATTGCACATCAAGATCTTACGAGCAAATTTGAATATGAGTTCATTTTGGTAGGATCTCTGATTCCGATCCAATCTTACGATCATGATTTTGAAATACATAAAACGATCTTATATATTATATAAGATCTCGATCTTGACAGCCTTGACAAATATCTTCACTTAATTGCTTCAAAGTTCAAACAAAAATACATGATTTTTATTAGTTTATAGTTTATAACACCAATACTCTTTCACTTATGTAAACCGACTTCGCAAACTATAATACCTAAGTTTCGAATACAACAACAAAAAAAAAGTTTTCGGTTTGTCCAACCTGAATAAATATGTTGAAGAATGATAATAATTAGTTTGTAAGAAAAAATGCGATCGAGAAAGTCAAATGCTGAATTCATTTATATAGCTTATTACAAAATAAAATTGAATTGGATATTTGCATTAAAGTTGGTCCAAATTTCGACATGTTGTGTGTTGAAAAAGAAGCAATAGGTAGTTATTAACATGGTCTTGGTCTTGTATAGCAGCCACAAACCAAAAGTCCCCACATGACCTTTCATGAAGGTCTTACCTTCTTCACATCAATGTTGGATATGCATGTTATGTATGTTACTGTGCCATGTGCATTTAATTAATATGTCTCTTTTAGTTCATCTTCTTCCCCATAGAATCATGGACCATGTCCTCTGAGTGTTACATACTTACATACCCATTTTAGGCATCTCATAACATATATACTTATCCATTATATCAGACATGACATGACAAACACTATGATGTAGAGCATAGTGAAGCAGCAGAGCCGTTTATGGACAAGTGAGAGAAATACAATAGTGCGATTGTAAAAATAAATAAATAGATTAATGGGAGTAGAAGATTTATGAAACTAAATAAGCGAATAATGGAATGTAAAAATAAATAATTTTTTTTTAACAAAATGAAAAAGTTGGTTGGGGTAGTAACAATGTTACTAACAAGGTGTTAGTCTATGAACAGAACAATTAAATAAATTGGAGAAACACATGAATATGTGAAAAGAGAAAAAAAAAAAAAAAAAAAAAAACAATTTGAGAATCAAAATGTACTGCTGCTTTCGCTTTCGCTGACAGAGATTGAAGGGCCTTCAGATTTGACAAGATGAGGATTGGCTACTCTGCCTCTGCCTATGCCTATGCCTATGCCTCTGCTGCTGATATCCAGTCCCTGGAAGCGGCCTAGTGGATCCTGCTGCTGTAGGTGGGTGGCAGCAAGTAGAGGATGAGATTGGTGGTGGTATTCTGGATGTTGTTGATGGTTTGTAAAGAAGTTTGATTGGTGGTTGTAGGGAGAATGGTGTTGATTTTGATGCATTCCTAGATTGTAACCATCTGAACAGCTTGCTATTTCTCCTGTTGCCATTCTCAGTCTTTCTACTTCTTGCTTCAGTGCCTCGTTCAGAGCTGTGTTTATGTTTTATAAAAACAGTCACATCATGAATGCAAGAAATAACATTGTACTTTGAAAAGTAGGATGTTATAATAAACAAATCCAGTATTAATGTTTTAGGCTTTAGGAAACTTACCATCGCGTAAATGAGCTTGTTGTTCCATAGCTTGTAATCGCATTTTAAGCTCTGTGTTTTCAGAAGACAGGCCAGTTGTATCCCTCTGTAAAATCAAAAGTTTACAAATTATAAGCCATAAAACCAAGAATACCAAAATAAGCATGTTTACAGAATCAGGTTATATACGTAGCATCTATCTGCTAGTGAATAGGCATATAATTTGATAATATTCATGGTCAGTGTCTGTGTGTGTTTATATAAAAAAATCACCTGAAACAGAGTCAATTGTGCTGAAAGTGTGGTTGCTTCTGTTTGCAGGGTTTGAACTTTTCTCTCAAGTTCAGACATATATCGTGCCTTCCTCTCTTTCGAACGAGCAGCAGATTGTCGATTTGCCAAAATCCTGTAATTGTGTTTGTATTTGTATGCTACAAACCATTAGATGATCTGAATCTTCTAAAGGATGTAACAACTAGCAAATCATGATGAGGATCTTTATCTTAATATAAAATTTCTCTAGGGAGTGCTGCTAATGCAACACCAAAATCGTCTCTCACTCTCTCTTAACATTTTTTGTTTTCACAACTGGTGAACTTGGAGGTTGTTGAAAATTAGTCTATTTGAATTATTCATATTTGTAATACACCTTTTTTTACCTTCATGCCATTGTTCAACCGATCATCAGACTTGAAAAATTTTACAAACGTGCAAACTTGGGAATCAAACTTTGACAATCACCACAAGTTTCTGCTTACATTTGGTAAAATATATTACAAGCCTTTTTTATTATTACTAATATGTTACTTATTTAACAATGATTTCTAATGACTTGTTCATATGGATGATAAGCTATTGGCAGCCAAATCCAATTTTAATCTATCCTGATGGATTGAAATCCAAATCAAAATATCTAACAGTTATGTCGTGCATTCATATTTCTATAATATACGATCGCATCAGTTGTTCAATTGGAATTAACTAAAGCATTAGATTTGCAAAGATCCGCATGGAATTAGCTTCCTACGTTTTATCTCACCGTTGACCGCTCCATATCTTAAAGCAGTAAATCAAAGTACTGATAGCAATAAGTTTAGCATACCTCTTAGCTCGCTTGGGATCAACAGTCCACAATTCAGCAAGTTTATCAGGAGCCATTGCCTTCTTAGCTTCTATGCTTTCACTCAAAAAACTCGAACTATCCACTGAATTACTATGACGATGTCGAGGTCTAGTACCGGTCCTTTCGCCATCATCACCGCCACCATTATGATCCTCTGAAGGCCCACCACCGCCACCAGCATTGTTGATCCGACCGTTATCCAGAGCACCGCCATCGTTCAAATTGGATCCGAGCTTCTCAATGTCCATGTAAGTACAAAACAGATCTTCCTCAGATCCTAGCTCTTCGAAGCTTTCAGACGGTGCATCGTATGGGTCTGACGCCAGATCTAGATCGTCCGGTAGCCTGAAGTTCACCTCGGAGTGTGCTCGTCGATGATGAGACGGCCTAAACGGAAACGCCGCCGCATTTTGCGGCTTAGAATTTAGATTCGACGGATCTTGCATTTCAACCAGTCGCGTAGAGTCTTCACCTTCTCTCTACAAAATCCTGTTTGTTTGTGTGTTTTCAGTTGTTTGCTTGTCTGAGGCAGAAGATGATGGGGGTTGTCTGGATCTCGTTTGTAATTAGATAATTCGGGTCGGCTTCTCATTTGTTTGGTTTAGTTGACTTGGGCTAATGGGCTTACCGCTTACGGGCTTGGTGCAATAAACCGGGCTAATGGGCTTACCGCTTACGGGCTTGGGCTAGAAAGGCCAAAATCCTTTGTTACATATCACACTGGGCCAGTGGGCCTATCACTATCCATCTTACATTCTTACCTGCTCCATATCGAGTGGCTTTTGTGATTTAATTTTAAGAAGGATAATGTAACTCAACTAAAATTAAGAGATAGTAAGATATTAGTGAAATTAAAATTCAAAGTTCTTGTCCAATTTAATTGGGATGACAAATAAATAAATTGAAAGAGCTTGACTATCGAGTTAGAATGTCAACAATAAATTCTTGTCAAATTTAATCCACATGATAAAATAAATAAATTGTAACAGTTTGCCTATCGAGTTAGAATGTCAACGATGTTATTTATCAAATATCAAACGTAATTAATAAAATATTAGTCAACATATAACGATGGTTCTCAACTAGTTTTCATATATGAATACAATCTATTAGTATCATGCTAATACTACACATCATTCTTAATAGGAAGAATTTCATATATGCCCTTTTAAAACATCAAAAAATCATATTTACCCAACTTAATTTCTAAATATCATATTTACCCTTCATAAAATTTCAAAATATCATATATGTCATTTTTAAACATCAAAATATCATATATGCCCTTCTTAAATATCAAAATATTGTATATGTACTTTTTAAACATTAAAATATCAATGGTAATATCTAAAATATCCTCCATCTACAACATGATAATAATCAACAACAACAAAAACTAAACAATCAAAATATACATTCCATAGAGAGGGTTGGAGATGAATCTTTTTGTTTGTCAAGAGGGCGACATTCCAACAATTTAGAAGTTCACAATCCATTAAGGATAATATGGTTAAATTTTTTAATTTTTATAATAATTCTAAGGTATAAAAAAATGATTATAAAATATTAAAAACATTATAAAAAACGATTTGGGCAAATATGATATTTTGAAGGTTTATGAAGGGTAAATATGATATTGAGAAATTAAGCTGGACAAATATGATATTTTGAAGTTTAAGAGGGACATATATGAAATTCTCCCTTAATATATTCTTATATATGATACAGACGGGTAAAATCAATGTTAATTACTTAATTAATTAATTTCAATTGTTGAAATTGTTTTCTTAATACTACACATCATTCTTAATATATGACATAGACGGGTAAATGTTGTAACAAACAAAATCAGTATAAATTTCTTTTATGTTGAAACTGTTTTCTTAATACTACACATCATTCTTAATATATGACATAGACGGGTAAAATACAACATCAGTATAAATTTCAATAGAAGATATATCATTAAATATATTATATGTTTATTTATCTGGACTATTATTAAAATGTGTCAAAACCCATGGAATTCCATGTATTTATGTAAAATTATCCTATAGTATCTAACTAATTATTTTCCCATTAAAATAAGATTGTCATTGGACATATGGTCTTGTTAAAAAGAATATGTTTAAAACATGTTATACAGTTATAATAATATTTAAGAAGATCGTTAATTTTTTATACGACAATATTTATACCAAATTCAAGTTAATTCAATATATAGCTTTCCTTGCAATTTTAATTTTGATACTTTAAATGTAGAATTACACAAAAGAAAGGGGACTTTTGTAAAAATTCAAAAGTTATGAACGACGTGTGAGGTTTAACAAATAGACCTTTATCTTACAATTGTATATGAATTGGATGGACTAATATTTGTTGTCCATTTAATTTTTTATCCATAAATTTTTTGTGATTTTGTCGCTATATTTAGATTTGGAGTGCATGATAATTACATGCAAATAAATATTATCGTGTACTTTTTGCAACTTCAACTTCCCAAAAATTTGATGATAAATATTGCATGAAATCCGGCCGTCCGTTTAGGAAGAAGACTCCTTATATTCGCTTCTTAATTTTCATGTCTTTCCAAGTCATCTGATCACGACCCAGTTACTATAAATTCCACCCTAATTAAGCTCCCCATATCCAATAACTTCTATACAAACAACACATCTCCTACAAGGAAGAGATCCACCGCCGGCGACCACCGTAAGCGATGGCATGTTTGGGTATTCGTTACGGACTTAGCAAATCCACTGCTGCTTTCCTTAACGATCGACGGGATCCGATTTCCGGATTCAAACGCCTACATTCTCCCTCAATCCCCAAAGTCGCCGTTAAAAATAGTTTGCAGAGTATCTGGGCTGTGGCGGCGGTTGTTTCCGATCGTCGTGTTTCTAATCAGGTTTCCTTTTCCATCGACGCAGACCTAATGCTGGCTAACAGATTCGTAAACGATGATAACGAGTTTGATAATCGTGCTACCGAGATCTCTAGTTTTCCGGACAAATTGGAGGAGTGGATTGAAGGTTCCGTTACGGAAATTGTGAAGAACATAACACAAGCGCCGTTGCTGCTTCAAATCTACGCCAACGGCGAGGTGAAAACGAAGAAGGCGGTGAAAGCTGAAAGCTGGCTGGATGTGATTACAGAGAAATCGTCTTCTCCAGACGGAATCATACTAGTGGAAGAGCTATCGGAGAACAGAGATCATATATCAGAGCGTGAATTCAATGAAAAAGACGGGACTAGGGCTTTTGGAGTACTGATTCAAGGTAAAATCAAAGGAAGAGATGACTGTAAGTCCGCGTGTTATTTATTGAAAACAAGCAGCTTTAATGGTGGAGAGATAGGGTTGATTTGCAGCCATTTTTGTTTGATGAAGGTGAAGAACTTCTGGGAAAGTGCATCCTCGCAGTTGAATAGTTGTTGGCTGGTAGAATGAAGATCATATGGTATTTGATGGACAGTTTTAGGTGTAAATAATAGAATTTAGAAATAGAGTGGGGGTATACTGTAATAAACATAATTTGTTTGTTGAATAGTAAACAATGATATTGATTTTCTAAATTCTTATTCCGTGAGAGAATAAAAATATTTTAGATTGGCAAAAGCCATATTTTAAATTTTGAAGATTTCAATAATTTAATAATTGTTGTTAACGGTATTACTAGAGGTGCATAAATAAACCAAACTAATATTCTATTACAAAACGTAACTTGATTATATCTTATCGAATCACAATCAATTTGATCCAGTTTCATCAAAAACCGGTGTCTCTTGTATCCGGTTTTAAATCGGATCCAGATCCAATATGTACAATTGCTTCGACTTACCACCTAACTAATATTCTATTACAAAATTATGTGACATTTAAAAAAAAAAAAAAAACATATCAAGCTGACATAACTCACTTTAGTGATATGGTCGTAGAATTTTTCATATGGTTGTTGTCATGTGTTATATATATGATGAATTTATAATTGCTTTTAGTTATTCTTGCAAATATACTCATCAAGATTAGTCATATATTTTTGTTATTATAGTTTTAAATTCTATATTGACATCTTAAACTTAATTAGCTTCGAATCCATGTAAAATGTACATACTACATACCACACAAACACAATCCAAGCAGAATTAATGTTTTAGCGCCAACCTATAGACTCAAAAAATACCTACTAAAATCAAGTCTGAAATACTATCAACTGTAATACTGTATAGTAGAATCTTTTAGTAGGTGTACGTGGTATTTGTTTGTCGGTATTCAAATTCTTTAAATTATTAAAAAACTGTTGACTTTTCTTGAAAAACTAATAATCAAGTATGAATATGCTCAAGGGAAGTTACAATATTACATAAAAGTGCGTAAATACTTAAGTGACTATTTGTAATAAGTTCTTTACGATTATTATAAGTTATACACTTCAGCCAAATTACAATACCAACTAACTTTATTTTTTATATACATCAAGGCCCATGGGTCATAAGTCCATAACTCCTTTGATTTTTCAGACTCCGTTGACACTTACATTTTGAGGGTGCATGATATTTTATGTCAAAGTTAAAAAAGATTTTTGTTAAAAAGACTTATTGATTTATGAAGGTGGAAAAACGAAATTTAAAAAAAAAATGTTTGGATTAGTTTTTTAATGGCAAATGTCAATAAGTCGATAAGTATTTCGCTTAAAATTATCTTTTGTTTGTTTTTATCCTAATAAGTTATAAGTCATTTCAAAAAATCACAAATTGTTAATTTTTAAAAACACATTTTGAAAGGGTAAACAAAAAGTTGTTTTAAAAGTCTTTATTAAATATTCAAACTCTTTTTTTTAACTTATTTTTAGATTAACACTCAAACACCCTCTTTTTTCTTTAAAATACTGGATAATATATACAACTAAGCGAATATTTGTATGTCGCATAAGAAAAAAAACCTTTATAGTTAAAATGCTATATTAACAAAAAGAAAATAACTGATTTATTATCATTAACTATGTCCAATAATTATTCTTATACAAAAATAAAAACGTTGGTATAAATTTTTGACATTATCTTCAAATATATTATTAACAAGACATTATAAAGTTGAAAATTTTAAAGCAATTTTAATAACATAATGCAATTAACAAAATTAAATACAAATTAATAGTGTTTGGGATAAGTATTTATCTCAAAGCACATTATTTTAATAGTATTAATTCGTAGGTTGCAAATGAATAATATCATGTATAATTTTCGATTTAATATTATTTCTAACTATTCTTTATAGTTAAATGATATTAAAGTTACTACTTTAATCATTTTCAATTCTCATCGGGATGATTTTTTGAATACAAACCATTGTTTTCAAGATTATATAATCTTTAAATTTGTATTGTTTTTAGTTCTATGTAATTTAATTTAACTTTTTTTCAACTATTTTTGAAATTTAATATCATTTTTAATATAACAAATTAAATATATTGGGTTGAAAATTTAAAAAATAGTATATCAATTAAATAAAAAAGAGTTATTTTTTATGAATAAATCAAATTGGAATAATTCATAATAAATA